AGAAATAAACCGTGATAATATTCATTAAAAGTATTTCAACAATACGTATTCGTTTCATTTCTGTTATATTAATATATAGCAAATAGAAAATTGGTCACAAGAACTTTCTATAAATTATTTTCATATAATGAAATACAATAGGTATATTGAAGAAATTATAAAATTTCAACAAATTAACAATATTTCTCATATATTGATTATCGAATTGAAACAATGTTCCAATATTATTTAATAAACTAAAAATATAATTTGAAATAAAATCTTCAAATTTCTTGATATTTGCAGCTTTGTAATGATCTTTTTTGTCTTCAGTATTTCTCAAAACAATTCTTAATGCAGTATTCAATCGCGTCAGATTCTCATTTGCTGCATGAATCTGATTATTATCAGTTTCAAATTAATTTTTTTCAGTTATAAGCTTCTCATTTTCTATTTCTTAAACGTGTATTTTCTTGAATTAGTTCATTTTTATCAGCATTCAAAGCAATAATTTTTTGTTGCAATTCATAAATTCTTACTTGTATTCTAGCGTTCTCAGCTAAAACTATCTCTCTGCCAGTTACTCGAGATTCCATTTTGTTAAAAGTTATTTTTTCTTAACTAATTCTTCATGATCTTAATTTATTTTTATACCCTACTCCAAAAGAATTCAAAAATATAAATTTACCAAAACTTTGATATCCCATATTTCAATTAAAATATATATAAACCCCATTATTTTTCTTAAGAAACTAAAAATAGGTTTTGAAATCAAGATCGGTTCAAATCTATCTTTCTGTTTAATCAAACTTGCAGAAGCTTTTTTTCTTTGTTCTACACTACTCTATTTCGCATTTATCATAATTTTTTTCACTAATAAATGACCTTCTAATTAGTCCAAGACCGATTAGATTTTTCTTCACGCAATTTTCTTTTAGGCTTAAAAGGTGAGAGAGCTCCAAACTGTGTTTTGTTTAAGAATTCGTTTCTTTTACTTGATACTAACTCTCACTAGACTGACTATTTGTTGATCGATCGACCAACTGACTGATTTAAGTTTTTTTAGATGCCAAAAACCAAACCAGGATATTATGCTGTATGAAAAGACGTAAAACAGAAATATATTTAACTTGGGATGAATGCAAAGCGCAAGTTAATAAATTTCACAATGCTATGTATAAAAAATTCCTTACTCGTACCGAAGCTCAAAATTTTATTGAAGGAAAACGTGAAGTTTCTGTAATTTTAAACAATAGTAAAATTCAAATTTGAACAGATGGATCATCATTTAATAATGGTACAACAAGAGCTCAAGCAGGTATTGGAGTATTTTGGAAGGATGATGATCCTAATAATTTAAGCGAAAGATTACCTGAATCGGAACAAACTAACAATCATACTGAAATTTATGCTGTGATTAGAGCTCTTGAAGTTTGTGAAAATAAAACAAAACCTTTGGAAATAATGACAGATAGTAAATATGTAATTAACATAATTGAAGATTGGGTTGAAAAATAGGAAAAAATTGAATATATGAGTTAT